GACATCCCAGAACCCGGTGTCACAAGTGCATGAGCAATTACTAAGGAATCGAATAAAGTACAATAACTGTCCGGAATACAAATTGGACAGAAAGTAAATACAATAGGCTGAAAGAGACTATACTGGCTGCGGGTAGCCTCGAGAAATGCAGCTCACCTAGTCCCCCTATCATCCATACTGCTACGCCTAGTAGGCCACTAGGAATACATGTGCTTGTGCAACAAAAATGCACAGCAAGTGTAGCATGCGTACGAAAATGTGTGCCCAGTAAGTATCCCGTCTAATCTCAAAGAAGTAGAGATGAGAGGTCGATTTCGACACTAACTAGTGGTCCAATAATGATACGTCCATAATACAATAAATCGAGGATTTTTATAACAGGATTGTAATTTAATAGAATGAAGCAAGTAAACAATTCTTTCTTTTATAGGAAATTATCAAATTCCTTTTCATCATTTATACATTTATTCTCAAGTCAGGGAGAGCAAATATCAACATCTATAAATCCCAAGGTAAGCAATACAAGCATGCGCAAATCATGCCGAGGACGTACGACCCGATCCAACAATATTTAAGTTGTACACTGCCAGAGGGTCTAATGGTGCGAACCATAGATGCATCTCTTACCCCGTTCGTGAATCATACATGCGACATGGTCAAATATAAATAAACACAACAATTAGTCAATCAAGAATTCATCAGGGAACAATTATGCAAAGAAAACCCAATTCTCTTTTAACAATTCAAGAAAATGAAGTTTAATCTTTTTAGAAATTTATTTACTAATTAGATGTGATTTAAGCAATGCAAACTGTCAATAAGATTACAAATATTCCAAGTATAGCATGCTTTTGGGTCCTAGACTACCCGGACTTAAACATAATAGTAGCTACGCACGGACTTTCATCACCTCGTGCGTACGTAGCCCCCACAAATAGGAGCACAAATCAAATTAATTCACCTATGGGGAGAATTTCCTCTTACAAGGTTAGAAAGGAGACTCACCTCGCTCTGAAATCCAATGACCGGCTTCCAAACCCTTCCAACGACTCAAACCGATGCTCCAAAACTAGCTAAATAACGGGCAAACAAATGAAAATACACCCTAATATTCATTACAATTCAGTTTATATAAAATGTCAACTCCGCTCGAAAAGTTGACAAAATCACCTTCGGGACCACGTGCTCGGATTCCGAAATTTTTCGAAGATAAAGTTTACCCATAACCTCACGAACTTAAATATGCAATTTACTCTTAATTTCATGTCCAGAATCGTGGTCAGAATCCAAGAATACTAATTTTCTAGGTTTTCCCTCAAACTCCAAGTTTCTACCAATTTTCATGCTAAAAACCATACATAATCAATATATTTAACTAAAGATAGGTGGAGATAGCTTACCTTGCTGTTGATTATGAAAACTCCCACTTGAAGCTCTCCAAAAATCGTCCAAACAAGAGAAAAATGGAAGGAAATGAACCAAATCTCCGTTTTTATAAAATCCTCTTCTGCCCAGCGACCTTTGCACCTACGGTCACTTAACCACTTCTACAGTTCCGCAGGTGCGGTTCAAATTCCGCTTCTGCAGAAAACCTCCAACTGCCCCTTGTCTGCTTCTGCGCCGCCCAGACCGCATCTGCAATCTCGCAGGTGCAAAAATTCCTTCGCACCTACGGCCTCTTACCCCTTCACTTCTAGCCGCTTCTGCGGTTCCCTTCCTCACTTCTGCGGTGAAGTCTCCGCATGAGCGGTTACACCAGCAACCAGACCCCCTTCAGCTCCTCATTTAAGTCCCAATCAATCCGTTAACCACTCGGAATCCACCTGAGGCCTTCAGGACACCGTCCAATCACACCAACCAATCCCATAATATAATGCGGACTTGCTCGAGGTCTCAAATCACCTGAAATAACGGTAAAATCACGGATCACACTCCATTTCAAACTTGAAGAACTTTAGAATTTCAAAGTTCAACATTCGATGCCGAAACCCGTCAAATCACGTCCGATTGACCTCAAATTTTGCACATAAATCATAGTTGACGTTGCGGACCTACTCCAACTTCCGGAATCGGAATCTGACCCCGATATCAAAAAGTCCACTCGCGGTCAAACTTCTCAAAAACCTTCAAATTCCTATTTTTAGCCAAATGACTCCAAAATGACCCACGGACCTCCAAATTCATTTCCGATCGCGCTCCCAACACCAGAATCACCATACGGAGCTATTCCCAGACTCGGAATCCCAAACAGACATTGATAACACTAAAATACACTTCAACCCAACCTTATGAAATTCTTCCAAAAATGCTAACTTCCACAATAGGTGCCAAAACGTTCCCGGGTCTTCCAAAACCCGATCCGGACATACGCCCAAGTCCGAAATCATCATACGAACTTGCTGGAACCTTCGAATCCCGATTCCGAGGTCATTTACTCAAAAATCCAATCTTGGTCAATTCTTTCAATTTAAAGCTTCCGAAATGAGAATTCTCTTTCCAAATCAACTCTGAACTTCCCGAAATTCAATTCCAACCATGCGTACAAGTCATAATACCTGAAGTGAAGCTGCTCATGGCCTCAAACTGCTGAACGACTCTCTAGAGCTCAAAACGACCGGTTGGGTTGTTACAAAAGGGCTACAAATTGTATGATCTGCAATCTAAACAGTTTATTGTTAGCAGGGATGTAGTCTTTAAGGAACATATATTTCCTTTCAGAAAAATGAAGCTATCACCTGTTCCACTATTTCTAGTACTTGAGCCAGTCGATGTACCAAATACTTCAGAGGTATTGTATGAAGATTTAGCAGATGATCATACTGCAGACCATGATAATGGTGCTGAACAAAGGAATGAAGTAGACACTGAAGAGCCAGACACTCCACTTAGTACTCATCATGTACCAGTTGTTACCAGTGTTGCTCCTGATGTTGTACCACAATTACAAACTGAGTCTTTATCCAGAAGTCTGAAGTTCCGTCTATAGAAGGTCTAATTCTGAGCCGAAGCTCTATTTATTACCCTATTCGTTCGCCCCTCCAGTAGCCTTTTGCGTGGGTCCTGCTCCTGCGCTTCCTGACCTCAATGAGATCCCGTCTCTGAAATTTTTTCATATTTGCAAGATGTGGATGATGCACTACCAATTGCAGTCAGAAAGCATCCCAGAACTGCAGGATCACCAAAATGGTTGCAGGACTTTGTGTCCACCTCCTGTGCATATCCCATGTCAGACTACCTGAGTTATGATAGGTTATCCCTTTCTTATGTTAGATGTTTGTCAGCTCAATCCTCTATAGTTGAACCCAGGCATTATCATGAAGCTTCAAAAAATGAAAGATGGGTAGCTGCTATGCAACAGGAAGTCACAACATTATAAGAAAACAACACATGGGATGTTTTTGATCTGCTTGCACATAAAGTTCCTATAGGATGTAAATGGGTATACAAAGTGAAGTGCCAAGCTGATGGTAAGGTGGAGAGACTCAAAGCTAGACTTGTAGCCAAAGGTTTCAGTCAAAAAGGAAGGCCTAGACTACAAGGAAATATTCTCATCAGTGGCCAAGATGGTCACTGTTAGATCAGTCATAGTAGTAACAGCCTCTAGACATTGGCACATTTATCAAATGAATGTGCACAATGCATTCTTGCAAGGTGACTTATTTGAAGAAGTGTACAAGCATCTACCACAAGGGTACAACATTAATGGGGAGTCCAAGAACAAGGTGTGCATGCTAAAGAAGTCACTCTATGGCTTGAAACATGCTTCAAGATAATGGAACTTGAAGTTGACAGAAGACTTAGAGATTTGGGATTTGTTCAAGTCATTTTGACTACTCTTTGTTTACACAACATAGAGGCTCAACTTTGGTTGTCATTCTAGTCTATGTAGATGACCTCCTAGTTACAAGAAATGATCCTAACCAAATTCAGTCTGCTAGGGAAAATCTGCAGAAGAAGTTCAAAATGAAAGATTTAGGGGAGCTTAGATTCTTTTTGGGCATAGAATTTGCTCGCATCAAGGCTAGCATTCTAATGAATCAGAGGAAATATGCACTTGACTTGATAGCTAATTCTGGGCTAGGGGAGCTAAGCCAGCATCCACTCCATTAGAGTGCAATCAAAGGCTAACTACAGCAGAATTTGATGAAGTTGTCTTGGGCTCTAGGATGCCACAAGTGCAGGAGTGAAGGACAATGTGTTACCTAATCCTGAACCTTATCAAAGCTTAGTGGGCAGGTGGCTATACTTAACCATGACAAGGCCTGATATAGCCTATGTTGTTCAGGTTCTAAGTCAATTCATGGATAAACCTAAGAGATCGCTTATGGATGCAACATTGAGGGTAATCAGGTATGTCAAAAATGCACCAGGATTAGGCTTATTGATGTCTTCATAAAGCTTATTGATGTCTTCATAGCAATCTAAGAGCTTGGTTGCATTTTGTGACTCAGACTGGGCTTCTTGTCCTCAGTCCAGGAAATCGGTCATTGGGTATCTAGTCAAATTTGGCAATTCCTTGATATCATGGAAGTCTAAGAAACAAAACACAGTCTCCAGAAGTTCAGCAAAAGCAGAGTTCAGAAGTATGGCCTCCACAGTGGCAGAAGTGTCATGGTTAGTAAGATTGTTCAAAGAGTTGGGAATCCAGATTCAACTGCCTATTCCCTTGCATTGTGACAGTAAAACAACTATTCAGATAGCTGCAAATCCCATTTTTCATGAGCGGACAAAACACATTTACATTGATTGTCATTTTGTGCTAGAAAAGCTACAGCAAGGCCTTATCCAGACTCATCACATTAACACCAAGTTGCAATTGACAGATATACTCACTAAAGGTCTAGGGAAGGTCCAGCACTATTCTTTGTTTAGCAAGCTGGGGTTGAAAATTTGTTCATACCCATCAGCTTGAGGGGGAGTGTTGAGATTAGCAATAATTGTGGTGGTTAAGCTTCATCAATTAGTTAGATTAGTTGTAACTAACTTACCTTAGAATAGAGTTAGTGTAACTCAAGTTAGCTTTAGTTTTAACTCTAGTTAAGGATTAGAGTTGATTTTATATATTTGCATGTACAGATACTGAAAACCAACTTCTTCTTCTTCCTCTGAAATATCGAATCACATTTCTTCTCCCTAACCTAGATCTACAGCTTCTCATCCATAGCAGATCTCCCTGGTTAGCTGATTTCTTCAAATAAGTGCAAAAAACAGACTTTGAACCCAATAAATTAGATGCATGACAGAATTCTGAATTTGAACCCATAAAGTTCAAATCCTAAATCAGCCTTTGGTTCAACTTTGGCGAAATGGATTCTCCATGTGCTCAATGATGCTACGCAATCCAGATTCATACGTAGGGTAAAGCAGTCTCACTCCCAGTTCTGATTTAATGCGTTTATTAGAGACTCGCTTCTCTCCCCTTGATGCTTCCTGTGGATTTAGAGACGCCGCGTCTTCAGAAGACTTGTTTAAAGTTAAGTGGCCTGGCCATTTCTTCTCAGCCAAGTTCCTAGCAAACGTAAATACCTGCTCTCTAGGAGCAGGGTCATCATCAACTACGTTGTATATCTTCCTGAAATGCCAAACCAGACAATCAATTGATTAAAGATGAAATTAAGAAGCTAATTACATAGAATTCGAAAAGTTCAATCATCAAAATGACCTAGAAGTTATTGCACATAGAAACCACGAGCAGAAGCAAATACACAAGTGAGCTAAAAGCGTCTACACCAGTTTCATGCCAGTCAAACTATTACCAACTTCAGAGGCATAATTTAATTGATCAACACAGCAGTAGACAAGAATTAACTTGGAAAAATAAAAGGGAGAAGGAAGCTTCATTAACATAATCGTGTAATTTTACCATTTGAGACAATCTAATTGGGTGAGCAAACGTACCGAGGAGATGGCCTCTGAATGCTCGCCTTAAGTGTCTGGCAGATATCAGCAACGTGAATACGCGATGTATAATGCCTAGAAAATCTCATCATCTGACCTTTTGACAGAGACTCCTGCTTGAGAATGGTGTCAATAGCACTGCATAACATGGCATCTAAAGGATCAGCGAGCAATTAAATCAAAAGTGTTCCTCATACAAAGTGCTAGCTTGTAATATACTTTGAGGAAATACAATTGCAATGTCCAAATAGAGTAACCAATCATAGCTATTTATACACTTCACAACCTTCTACCAGGACCATATATGCCACCCAGTCGAAATATTTGGACAGTGACTCCCACATCACAAGCCAAATGTAACCACCCTTCCTCAGCAGCTATCCTTGCTTTTGCCGATTCAGTTATCGACCTCGGTGGAAACCTGCCATATGATAATATGCATAAATCTAGGATGACTAATCTGAATGCACCAAAGAGATTTAAGAGCTTGATTCATGTAAACTTACTCTTCATCAACCCATGCACCACCAGAGTCGCCATAAACACCTATTAGTCCAAAAGAAAAAACGTTCAACATACTTTGCGCATAAAGTCTGTTTAAAGAATCTTTTACCATGTAGCAATGTAAATACCTATGAGTTTATCCAAGGAAAGAAGCTAGCATGTCACATGGGATATATGTTCTTTTGAGAATATATAACCAGAAATATACTGGTACTCCCTCCATCTCAATATAAGCCGACCTCCTTCATTTTTAGCTTCCCAAAAACTTGAGCTCTTTCTTCAATAGAAAAGTTTTTGGCACAATACGACATTGGCTGATCGACCTTAACTAGTTGCATTCGCTAGCCAAAAAAATGTATAAAATATGTATATTATATGTATGTAATACACACGTGTACAAAAAATACACATTTTATCGGATATTATTTTAGGGAGCAGCTAAAAATATACATTTTTCAAAAGTTTTTTCCCTCGAGTAATTTAGATCAATATAAGCTTAATACTAATTCATATATTGTTTCTAACTTGATTTGACACCACTCCTACAAATTGTTCCATTTGTTCACATCTCAAATGATTTATTAAACTACTTCTACTATACCAACCTCAATATAATAGTCCACCAAAATATTTTATTATAATAAAGCTGGGGACAAATCAGGTTTAGCTTTTCAGAAAGGGGATGGTATATTTCAACATTCCTTACTTTTGGAAACTTTAGAGAAATAGGTGTGGGTAACCTTATCCAAAGATTTAAAATAGAAATAGGTAGATATACTTCTCAAAATGTAAAAGGTAAACACATTGAGCCATATAAGTCATTTTTTATTTTTTAGCCATTCATTTGATAAGTGACTACAAACCAAAGAAGTATAATTCAATGGACTTGAGCAAAGAAGCAATAAGAACTCAGCTGGCATTTAATTTCAATGAAAGCCAAGAAAAACAATTAAGGTTGCTCTTTTATGTTGTTTTTGTTTTCAAATGTTGCTGTAACACCTGAATTGAGAAACTAATCTCTCCAAGGGAAAAAGAAAATGAAGTACATGAACATCTTCATTCAACCAATGGCTTGAAAGAGATCCATTTTTTCTCCGATATAGTTGTTATTTCCTTAGAGAAAGTAAAGTCACATTTACGTAATTTCCTACTTGTCAAAACAATTTTTTCCTTTCTATAAGGAGAAAAAAAGATGAAGAAAAAGAATGAACCAAGTACTTTTGGAGAGGAGATCTTGAAGAAAAACGGATTTTCAGTTCACCTTAATAATATTGTTAGGTCAAAATCAGACTTTTGAATAATACAAATGCACATAGCTTCCAGCATTAGTGACAGAATAACGTACTCGTTGATGACAAGTAACCAAGCCACTGGAGGTTACCATCCTTCAGTCTTTCTTTTAGCAGCTCTTTATGCTGAAGCATCTGCAGTACACACAACTATTAATGGACATAAAAGCAAGTAGAAAGGTAAGTAAAAAACTTCATAAGCTTTTCATGGTATCTTACAGCTCGCTTCCGGATTCAACAGTTTTTTGAAGGTCCCAAGTTTTATGGCTTCTGTGCATGAACTTACCTTATTGTTAGATTCAAAAGTGTTTTTTATAAGGTATTGTTACATTCAAAAATTAACAATGTTTGATTTAACGATGTTCCTAACTGTTGAACATAATATCGAGACTGTCCCTAACAAGAACTCTAACACCTAAAGAAGCAGAATTTTATTTTTACCATAATTAACTTCCCTATTTTAGATTTTATTTTTAACGCATAGTTCATATTCATATCATGACAGAGAAAAGGTCATTGAGGAACATTTATGATTAACATCCATCAACAAATATGGTGACATGGGAGGTCTCTACAATTAACACTGCCTATGCCTGTCATATTGCTTACTAAAACTGTAGCATAATATTGAGCAAATTTACCGGATCACCAACACCCAAAACTGGAGGGATGGAGATTAGAAGGTGTGAGTGGCATTTCACGATATCAAGGACCTCAAGTCTGAAAGATAGAGCAGAAATACTAATTAGAACAGAGGGAAAGATAGGAACAGGGTTTCTTCTAAAAACCTACCTACAAACATGGAAGTTTAAATATGTGACCGCTAACACTCACGCGTAGACCCAAAATTTATCGACACATTAGTCAAGATATACGAAAAAGGACCAAACTTTGACCTCATTAGGATGAAAGTAACTGTTACAGAAAAAGTGAGAGAAGAACTGCCAAAGAGGCATAATTTGATCTATAACAAAGAAATTTATCATTCACTTCCCTCAGCTAAGTAATCAGTAAAGGGGTAAACTCAAAAGGGACGACCAGTGATCAGTTTCGGAGTTCTTGGCTATTAAAGTCTTTATTTCAAATCTTCTGATTCTCCACCAATTCAAAGTTTAAGAATTATTGCATTTATAATTAAGATTTCACTTACCTAGTTAAGTATAGCCACGTGATTTCCCTCTTTTCATTAGCTTCTTAGATTTCAACGTTTCTACTGTTGTTTTCATTATATTATAGTAGGTCCTTAGATGAGAACAAGCCTGTCTTTTTTCTGGCCATTTTAGCCTTTGACCAGGAATCGGTAGTATCATGCATAATAAAATCCCAAGGCAGTCACTCATCCCTAAACTGATACATGAGGAATTCAGGAAATGACCACCTGCAACCAGATGGGTTGGTTCATTCATATTCAGCTTTTGACAAAATTTGCGGCGACAAACTACCTTTATATGTTATTATGATAAAGTTGAGGGCTCCTTTGGTGACACATAGATCACACAAGTTCAAGGGGAAAGCTACCTACACTAGCCATGGAGCAGTAATAGAAGCCCCAGCGTCCCCTCCGCCCTCCCATTCCCATTACTTANCCATGGAGCAGTAATAGAAGCTCCAACGTCCCCTCCACCCTCCCATTCCCATTACTTAAAGAGGAATATATATGACTTCATTTTGACCAATGAATATTCATGAGAGGGGGGAGAGGGAGAGATGTCAGGAAAACTCACTGTGGTTCATTGGCGTCAAATATATGAGCATGGAACCCCATTTCCTCTAATTTCTGTTTCCGGGCAGTAGTAGTACAACTTCCTGTAACTTCCCTACACAATTCACATATGTTATATAAATGGTCAATCTCCAATATATATTAACAGCTCGCTTTTTTCACGACTTCAACTAGTACGAAAAGAGGAAAAGAGATAAAGTAGAAGGTATATTTACCATCCGTCGCGATTCAAATCTGCGGCCAAGAATTGTCCTACGAAACCCATTCCCAGGATGAACATTTCATTTTTGGAATCTGATTTCTTAGTGTTCGATTCGTAACCTAGACTGCACCTGATATAGGGGCAAAACGATGGCGTTTTAATTAAGGGAACACCGGCAGTTTGACCCTGCCGGAGTTGAATTAACGCCGGCTGGCTTGGTAGCCGGCAAATCTCCATTAAAATGGCTCTACTCTGAAACTTTCAGGAAGCGGTTAATCAGAGGTACTGGTCTCTCAGTTAAGTGGAAAGCCGAAAGCTCCAAGCCCATCCCGAAGCGCTTTGGACTCAATAATATAAGGCCCGTATTAGGTAAAAATTGCACGGGGCGCCCTATTTGGTCGTCCCGTTTAACCTATAACCATTTTTTTAAACTTTTAACTTGCACCCACGTACGAGTGGGGCAGAGTGTGGGGCCCGGGTCAGGGTGTGGGACGGGAGGTAGGGGAGGTAGAGGGGGCAAGGGAGCCTATAGGTTGAGAATCGGGTCATGGAACATAGGTTCGCTAACGAGTAAGTCTATAGAGTTGGCGAAGATACTTCAGAAGAGAAAGATTAATATAGCGTGTGTCCAGGAGACTAGGTGAGTTGGATCGAGGGCGAAAAACGTGGATGAGTATAAGTTATGGTACTCTGGAGTCCTGAGGGGTAAGAATGAAGTGGGTATCCTGGTAGATAACCATCTTAGAGAGTCGGTGGTAGAGGTCAGTCGGGTGAATGATAGACTAATGACTATTAAATTGATGGTCACTTTAAATGTCGTTAGCGCGTACGCGCCGCAAGTAGGCTTGGATGAGGAGATTAAAAGGCGT